AAGTCAGAATTGTGAGATAAAAAGTCGCAATTACCTTTTTAAATTTTTTTATTCAGTGGCAGAAACGGGTTTGCATAATTCTGACTATAACGTCAAGGCAAAAAAAAATAAATTTTAATGTTAAAATTAAATAATAAAACTTTACAAATTAGACATGACCTATTATACAGACAGGATCCAAAATGAAAAACTTTTACAAACTATCTTTTTCCATTCTTTTGATTTTATGTTCATTTTTCCACTATTTCTTTCTGCTAGCTAACAAAAGTCAGGCACCAATCATATACAAATAAACATTTTAAGTTTTAAAGGTTTGCTTCAACACAAATTTACTGCAAACAGTTTGCCGCAAAGCTCATTTGCATGTAAAAATACAAATTTGCAGTAAATGTGTGACAAAATTCGCCTAGCAGGTTCACCAGAAGGGCACCTGATACTTGTACAACAGATTCTGGGCTTGTGCATTTCTTTGCCTGTAAACATGATTCAGTATCAGTTTTTGCTCATAAACAACATCCAGTCAGTCTTACGGCTCTGGGACACCCGACTGCTGAGATCAGCATCGATACGAGATGGCAAAGTCGGCAAGAAACAGAATTTCCCCAAGCATAAACGAGATCTGCGCAGCTCCCTTAATCTCGACGGCGCGCTCAAAGCGGCGTGTGAATTTCCGCCGAGATACGGAGCGAGTCACAGCAGGTAAAAGGTGAAGTGGGACGACTAGAGCATCCCGTCGAAGCACTTGACACAGACAGCCAAGTGCAGCGCTGATCCAATATGCCAAACGCATCCATAAAATCTGCCTTTCATTTGTTTTGACATTTACAAAGCATTTAAAACCAAAACCCCCAGTCATGGAACTTCTTCGCCCATTAAAATGCAAACTGGCACACTTAGTGAATGGAGATAAAACGGTCAGATCGGTCGACGCCTTGACCTTTTTCAGCAGTGAAATACATTCGTCAGTGGGACAGACAGAATGGCTACTGGCCCTGTGACGGGAACCGATGTCTTCGGACCTGCAAGAGACGGGGAGGGAAAAGGAGGCGACACAAATGCACCCTACGAAAAGAACAGAACAGATCAAGGACGGGAGGAAAGCAAACCTTTTCACCATGTCCTTGAAATACAAGCTGCAGGAAGCTAGAACATTTTGATGGACTTCAAACTCTTTGCCTTCAACAATTATTTTCAGGTCTGTAAACTCTTTCTCTCGCCGCTGCTGGTTCAATTCCTTCAACATTTCTGTAGAACAAGAGAAAGAAGAGAAACAGTGATTTTCGGACCTTCTGAGATCCAAGCACACAGCATATGATGACAAAAACAAAATCAATCATTACTCAAAGAAAAACAGGGAATTATTTGTGCAAGTAAAAGGCTGGAATGGAGGAATAAAACCATCAAGCATGAAGGAAAAACAACAACAGAAGTGAAGGGCAGAGGTCAGCGCTCTCGTTTCATTAGGATTCCACGAAGCAAACGCTCAGCTTCATCAGTATGATGTCTACAGCTCTGATTTCAAGGAATACTTCAGCCAAAAATGAAAACGCTGTTATTATTTACTCACCATCATGTCATTCCAAACCCTTCTTTCTGTTCATTTCAGACATTTCATTTTAAGGTGAACTCTTCCTTTCACAAACAATGGAACGCTACAGTCGGGTTCAGGAAATAAAAGTTTCATTCACATTCTTTATGTAATTTATTATTTATTATTAGTGTTGTTACTATTAGTATTACTAAAGATAGGCTTTGTTTTCACACACACACACACACACACACACACACACATATATATATATATATATATATATATAAAAAAAACTGTGTGTGTGTAATGTGTATAATTTTTATTATTATTATTATATTATTAATTATATATCACACTGTCCCCCTCTCCACCCTCTTTCCAGAAAAAGACGAGCTCATTTGCATTTAAAGGTACACACACAACAACAGCGTGTTTTTGCTCACACCCAAATGAAGGCATATTTGACATGCTATAATAAAACATCTGTGGGGTATTTTGAGTTTAAACTTCACAGACACATTCTGGGGACACCTGAGACTTGCATATTGTAAAAAGGGGCATAATTGGTCCTATGTTTTAAGCTATATTTGTATTCTTTAGTAATTTGTTATAACTCTATAAACTACATTTTTAATTGTAACGCATACACCTGTCTAAATAAACTTACCATGAGCTCTGAGTCTAAAAATGATACATAGCCACAATCAATGTTGTCATTAAATAAATAAATAAGAAAGAATAAAAATAGATTTAAAAATACATGAAAATAAATATGAATAAAATAAATTAATATTATTGAAATAAATTAATAAAGTCGCTGTTCCCATGGAAACAGACTGCAAAAGAGAACAATAACTGCTCACTCCCAGAAAATATTAGGAATTATGTAACCATGCACACTCAAGCTGGATTTGTGTATATATTTAGGAGAAAACATCAGACATCAAATGCATTTATTAATCAACTATGGTACAACAGATTTGATTGCATCATTCATAATGCTTCAGGGGATTTATTTTGACCTAAAAAGCCTTGTACCATTGCACTTTTGTGCTTGTATTGTATTGTATTGTGTATCTGAAATCTGATCGCTTTGGTTCAACTCCTACAACTCTTTACTGAAGAATGTTTAGAAATCCCTATGGAGATAATGAACAGGAAAAATACTTCTGGAACCAAGACTGCGGTTCCAGAAGTGGTTGTGACCATCTGACCTAAAATGACATTTATTAAACCAACATCGCCTCTAAACAACATGAGACACTGAGAGGACATGAAAACCACCCAGTATCTGAGAGAAACTAAAGAATACAAATATAGCTTAAAACTTAAAGAAAGAAAGACTCGTTACTGTAAGGCAACTTGTTAATATGTTGTATTAAAATAAATATTTATTATATTAAAAAACAATTGTATTACAGTATTGAGAATATAAAATAATAATATAGTAATAAAAATTACAAAACCTTATTTTATTTTATTTTTTTACATTTTTTATTCAAAAAGTAAAACATCAGTACAGTAATGATATTTTTTTTTGGGGGGGATGTGATTAATTGTCATGAAAATAATGCCACAAGGCAAAAAAAATATTAATTGTAATAATAATTTAAATTATATATAAATATGCATTTAAATTATTTGTTATTAATAGTAAATATTACAAAATAGTATTATTTTTGCATGTGTGTGTGTGTGTGTGTTTGTTAAAACAGCTTATTTTTAGGAGTAATAATAATAATAATAACAGTAATAATTTTAACAATTAATACTTTAATTATAATAATAATTTAAATAGACAATTTAGAATTTTATATTTTTTCCTAAAAATAGGCTTATAGAGATAGACTAAAAAAAAAGATATATAGAGATATCTTTTTTTCCTTCAGATTTTGGGATAAAATATCACTGGTAAACATTACAATGGTCTCCAGTGATGGTCTTTTCAGGTCCAAGATTAGTCCAAAACTTCCTCATGTCCAGGAAATTATGTTCATCAAATTCTAATTAGAAGGTGAATATATGCATGAGTCATACCTGACACGGTTTATGTATAATTAATCATCTCCGAACCCAAAGCAGAATGATTTTATGTGCTGGAATAGCTTCTTCAACTCCCAAAAGCCCCTGAAACAGCAGGACGCCGTGATCGCGACAGGTATTCATGACTAATAAGAAGCGACCACAAACAGCAGCTGATGTACGACAAGACCCAGTTCTGCGCAACAAAGGATATTGCGCTCCTGAAAATAAACACATTCAAAGTCACTTCTGCATTTCATGTGCTGGCTTTCCGTGCAGTCATTTGAATAATTGGCCAGTGTATTGGCTCAGCTTCATTAGAGCAACACGTCACACGCCTCAGACAGCTGTTCTGCAGACGTCTGACAAACGAATACAGAAAAGGACATGCGATTATCTGCCTAAAATGTTCCCAATTAATTTGAGCCAGGGATAGCATGGATGGCAGGAAATTATTCTCTATTTAAGTGGGTCAGTGTTCTCTGGAGGAGACCATAATCATAAAATAGCACAGGGCAGTCTAGCGGGACCAGGAAGGGAGATTTTAAAGGAAAATTAACACATTTGTAATTGAAGAGTTCATTTGCAAAAACCGATAAATGAAAAAAAAAAATGAGCTGATTGCCGTGCATTATTCTCCACATATAGTGAACCCTAAACACGTTTTGTCAAAAAAGCCGGTTTTGTCCACTTTCAAAGCATCGCGAGTTCACGTTTTACTGCAGAAGCCGACAAGCGCCCTTGTTGTTTTTGAACAGAAGCCGATAAGTCCATTTTAGCGAATCAGCGCGCTGTATTCAGGTCAGGTGACAAGGCTACTTTCACTTTGAAAAGACGTGCTGAGAGGAGTTTCGTCAAAGCTGACTAAACGTGATCGAGGATGGATCATTTCGACGAACTTGATGAACCTGTCATATCTTCTTCAGGGCGAAAAAGGAAAATAAAAGCTGAAACGTTTTCACGGAATCTTGCAAAAGCAGCGCGTTACAGTGGTGAGGGAAAAGCTCCGTGTATTGCGTGTAATCACATCCATACAGTTTATGATCACAACAACAACAACGTTTGTCAGGCATCTTCTACATTGTCATCTGAGGAGATTACAAAGATTAAACGAGTGTTTTTTTAAACTCTAAAACATGAAATGTGGAGTTATCTGCTTTTGCCAAAAAAACAAATGTTGGAGTTATCTGCTTTTGCTATAAAACAAGCTTTTAATATGTAAAAAAACATACTTTCAATGAACTCTAATTTTGTAAATTACCTGTATTTGTTAAAGTTATAATCAAAACAACCCAACTGCAGTTTGATTGATATTACTTGGAATGCGCAATAAAAAAACGTGATTTCTGAAAAAAAAATTAAAATGTTGGAGTTATCGGTTTTTGCAAATGAACTCTTCATATTAAGATGCCTATTCATAAATTCTAATTTCCAACCATTACTCTCAGATATGCAAAATCTGGAGAAGTTGCTCCGGGATGCTATCGTGCATGGCCAACCTAGAACCCACCGGCCCTGGAAGAAGATCCTCATCCTCGTTGAAGGAATTTACAGGTATAGCAGAAATCTTTTTCATTATGTATACAACATGTTTTTTCTAATTTGAGCAGAAACCTAATTTTTTTGTGCAAAGCATATGCAAAGGGAGGCTGGTTTGCATACCTTTTTCTGGTTTGGAGGCCATTTCATTACAGAAGCCGATAAGTCCATTTTAGCGAATCAGCGCGCTGTATTCAGGTCAGGTGACAAGGCTACTTTCACTTTGAAAAGACGTGCTGAGAGGAGTTTCGTCAAAGCTGACTAAACGTGATCGAGGATGGATCATTTCGACGAACTTGATGAACCTGTCATATCTTCTTCAGGGCGAAAAAGGAAAATAAAAGCTGAAACGTTTTCACGGAATCTTGCAAAAGCAGCGCGTTACAGTGGTGAGGGAAAAGCTCCGTGTATTGCGTGTAATCACATCCATACAGTTTATGATCACAACAACAACAACGTTTGTCAGGCATCTTCTACATTGTCATCTGAGGAGATTACAAAGATTAAACGAGTGTTTTTTTAAACTCTAAAACATGAAATGTGGAGTTATCTGCTTTTGCCAAAAAAACAAATGTTGGAGTTATCTGCTTTTGCTATAAAACAAGCTTTTAATATGTAAAAAAACATACTTTCAATGAACTCTAATTTTGTAAATTACCTGTATTTGTTAAAGTTATAATCAAAACAACCCAACTGCAGTTTGATTGATATTACTTGGAATGCGCAATAAAAAAACGTGATTTCTGAAAAAAAATAAGTTATCGTCTGATTTTCCACACAAAAAGTCTGAGTTATCGGTTTTTGCAAATTAACTCTTCATATGTAGATGCCCACTTTATTCCCATCTATAGGCATTTGCATATAGCAACAATCATGGAATAAGCATAAAACAGCTCTTATTATTATACAAGTATTCAATTTCTTGTTATTTTTACCATTACCATACTTGGCTTTTTCTTTCTTTCTTTTTGGTATTTACAGTACAATTCAAAAATCTGAGGTCAGTAAAAAAAAATAATAATAAATTTTAATTCAGCAAGGATTAATTCAATTGATCAAAAGTGACCGTAAAGATATTTATAATGTTACAAAATATCTATTTCAAATAAATGCCGTTCTTTTGAACTTTCTATTCACCAAACACTCCTGAAAA